AGAAGCCAAATATCTTTCCCAATTTGTCACACACATAGATTTCCTTCATTCAAATCTTTTTTTTTTTTTTAGACGGAGTTTCGCTCTTGTTACCCAGGCTGGAGTGCAATGGCGTGATCTCGGCTCACCACAACCTCCGTCTCCCGGGTTCAGGCAATTCTCCTGCCTCAGCCTCCTGAGTAGCTGGGATTACAGGCACGCGCCACCATGCCCAGCTAATTTTTTGTATTTTCAGTAGAGACGGGGTTTCACCATGTTGACCAGGATGGTCTCGATCTCTTGACCTCGTGATCCACCTGCCTCGACCTCCCAAAGTGCTGGGATTACAGGCTTGAGCCACTGCACCCGGCTCAAATCTTGAATGAAACTTCTATTTCCATCTTTTCAGTCTCCAGAGCATGAGTTTTGGAGAAAAAAACAGTGTCCTAACTTCAAACTGAAGCCCTGTATGTTACTTGAATGGCCTTCTATGGGTTGCCTGACATCTTTAGTCCAGTTTACCTAAATAATAGAAGAAATAAGAGCTACAGTTTAGAATTATTGTAAGAATACATAATCTATGTGAATATCTTAGCAGCGGTTGCTTAGAACACAGTAAGGGCTAGTAAGTGTCAGTCATTAAAGTGATTGAAACTCTCTGAGTCTGTTTTTCCATCTGTACGATGGTGTTGATGCTATCTATTGGGTATTAGCAAAGATTTCTGTAAAGCTACACATATTTATATTTAACATACAGCACCTTAGTGTCCACATACATACTCATTAAAAAGTAGTTATCTCTCCCTTTCTGTGCTCCAAAAGCTCTCCTCTCCCTATCTCAAGTTTGATTGGTGAATATCAGTAATTGATATCTATGATGCTCAGGGAATGCTTTAATTTCTCAAAACACAACTCAAAGCCTGCTCCCCACAATAATATGATTAAATTTCACAGAACCTGTCCAAACAATTTTATTTACAGTATCTCCCCAAATGGGAAGAGAAGAGGAACGTGGGGCCACTTGTCTGTCATTGCCACCACTCTTGTGATTCCCTAGATGTTTCTTTGCTGCTCAACTCCTTCAAGATAGCTGTACAGGGCTGGGTACCGAAGGCATCACTTATGAGCAGCAGAATTCAGAGCCTCAGAGTCTAGTGGGCAGGTACCAGGCATCGTTTCACATGTGCCCATGGTACCCATTCCACACTCAGCCCCAGAGACTCCGCATCAGGTGGTAAGGACCCTGGCTCAACAGGCTCATGAGGTAGGCAAGGTTCTGATCAGAGTTGTACAGTGCCTGTCATCCTCTGTCACCGTTAAATAAACTACACCTTTCTCATCTGTGTTTTCCTCTCTGTAGGACATCTTTGTTCCTGCACATTCCAGTCTTGGAAATGTTTCGCTGCACTCTCTGTCTCAAATTTCTCAGTTTCATTTTCTAACTATTGCCACTGGCTTCTGGATTTGCCCTCCTGTTCCATGGAAATCACCTTCCCTAACATTAAAAATGTCCTCCTAATTGCCAAATCCAGTGGATATTTCTTAACCTGCCTCCTTTTTAAAGCTTTTTTGTGGGTTTAACACTAGTAGCACAACCCGTAATTTTTTGTCATCGGTCTTCTCAATCTATGCTGCAGTCTTTGGGGGATCGCATGTTCTTTTACAATTTTTCCTGGCTCAGGCAAATGCTAACACCTCTCTTTCTGTTCTCATGTTTTCCTGGAGACTTTACTTCCCATTTCACTGAGAGAACAGATATAGTGAGAAAGAATACTCACAAATTTTCACTTCCACATCTACCCACTTATGTACATAGGTGGCAATATATTCTACCTGCTCTTCTGCTGCTGTAGATGGAATTACTCAATCCAGCTATTTCATATAAGGTAAGTGGAGATTCCTTCTACACTTACCTATTCAAGAACAGGTACCTATTCTTGTACCATCAAACTTTTTTTTTAGTAACTACTCTAAGAGTTGTTCATGTTCATTGACACAAATTTCTTTCCTCTCTCCCCTTAGACCTACTATAATAAGCCTTTGCCCATATCACTCTAAAGTTTGAAACCATTCTTATTAGGGTAACCGAAAAATCTCTATGTTGCTGGATGCTCATTTTTCAGTCATTATTCTTGCCTGACAGTCATATTTGAGTAATTCTTGTGTTTGATGTACTTGGTCGCCTCCTCTTTCTTGAAACACTTCCCCTTATATTCCTAGACATCACACATTTTAAAATTAACTCCTCTCTCAAAGACCTTTGTTTCTCACTTTCCTTTGTTCATTCCTTCTCATCTCTCAGCCATCTTCACTTTGGAGTTCTTATCTTTCTATTTTTTCTCATTTCCTTGGTGTTTTTGCCCAGTTGCATGGCTTTAAATACCATGTATACATTGATGAGCTCCAAATTTGTATTTCTAGTCTAGACTTCTCACTGAATGATTGACTTTTGTAGTCAAAACTGTGAGACATTTCCTCTACAATGCCTTAGAGATAATGAATTAATCATTTTCTCCCACAAACCTGTCTTCCTTGTCTTCAAACAAACAGAAGGCAAATCCACATTTCCAGGTGCTCTGACCAAAAACCTTACAGACATCCTTGACTTCTCTCTCTTGACAAAAGTCAATTGTTATCAAATCCTATTGGCGCTACCTTCAGAATATACCCAGAATCAGACTCCTTGTCACCATTTTCATTGCTACTCATCTGCAAATTGCTGGCATTTCAATAGCATTCTAAGTAGATTCATTGTTCCTATCCTGGTTCCCTACCCCCCCCCCAACCTTTTACCCCTCCCCTATTCTTGACACAGCAGCCGTACTGATTCTTTTAAAAACCAAGACAGGTTATGTAACACTATACAGAAGAAGAAGCAGATACAGAGAAGGTCTGTGGTTTTCCTAAAGTCACAGTTTCTGATTAACAAAGATATAGGAACCAGAACTCTTGGATTTCCGAGTTTGTGATCTTGACTCTCTGCTGCTCCATAGTCAGAATCAATTAATTCCTTTGAAACAAGTGAATAGAAAGTGTGTCTTGTCTTGGCCTTACACAGGGAAAGGGACGAATTATGTTCCAACTCTTCAGGAATTTAGAATCTCAGGGAAAAATAAGAGAATAATCTAAATCACATGAAGATATTATCTATTAATATGTTTATAATAAAAGCAAATTGAATGTTTCTCTGCTGCTGAGGACCATTGTTAGCACATCAGAATAAAGTAAAATAACATGGAGTGAGATGGAAGAGAGAGAACATGGAGCAGAGCTCAGAGGGAAAAATTTATTTTTTGTTTTTTTGAATCTTACATATACAGGAAAATGTGTGTGTGTGTCTGTGTGTGTGTGTTTAAGTATTTTATATGAGAGACAGACAGACTGGTGGGGCAGAGTGAAATCTGGTTCTGGAGATGTGCTATGGAATTGGGGAGAACTTGGCAGGGTAATTCTTCAGGGCCTTACCAGTGCTGAATTACTTAAAATTGAATTCAGAGTCTCCCTCAGCACAAATTGAAACAGTTAGACTCGGGGGATAAAGGAACAAGTTTACCTAATAGGTCAAGATTCCGAAGTCAGGCTTAGTGCTAACTCTTCTTTGCAGTTTGGCAATTGCACTGATTTATGTGCCAAACTGTGAACTCACTTCTCAAAGTGGTCCAGGAGAAGGACTGTTTAAGGCTCTAGCAGGGTCAGATTCATGCAACAGTCTAAATGATTTACATGTGCTATAGGGCTGGTGAAATCTATCTATACTCAAAAGCTGAATTTATTTTTAGTGCATAGGTAAAACTATATTTTATGCCTTTTTAGGGAAAGATGATGCTGAACACTGATAAGTGGTAATCAGGGAAGTTTCACCTTGGGAAGTTTTGTCTTTCTGTGTTAGTCATTGCATTGCTTTACTTCAAACTTCAGTAACAACTGATTGACATTGATCTATCACTATTTTCAGTGGAAACTGACTTACACAATTTTAAGGACTGCCCATATCTTCTTATCTGGGCTTGGCTTTTGAGAGCCCCTTGAAATTTAGTCACCCCCAGCTTCCTCAAACTCTTTCAGTAATCCTCTTTGCTATATCCTTTCTGCACCACTGTTTGATACCTCCTTCTCTTCCAATCTGTTCCACCCCTCTGATTTTTCTCCTCTGAGCTCCTCTGGGTTAAGACATGACTGTCTCTGGCCTATGACAGCTCCTTGTGCACGAATTCACCTCCATAGCTGAACTAGGAGCTCTCCATGGCCACAGCTGACACTTAACCTCTTGCCTTACCCATGAACTTGTGATACTTTTTCTTATAATTGCTTTTCTATATAAAAATACCCTCTGTCCTGATTCTTGTGGATGCGACTATATCTGAACAGCCTCAATGCAATGTAAATAAACAAGAATCGAATTACTGAATACTGGCTGTGTACCAGATGCTGTGCTAGACATACATTTTCATTACCCAACATATTAGCATAATGAAGACATTATTCATTAAATAAACCAAGACTGTAATACATACCAGTATAATCTCTAACACATTTCCCATAATATTTTATTGAGTGCTTATTATGTGCAAGGCACAGATGAAATGCCTACTCTGATAAAGTATTAGAATGGTTATCAATCAATCAATTCAAAAGCAAATAAACACTGCAGAGTAAGTCATGAAGATAATAAAACATAGCATACCTTTATAAATTTAAGATTTTTTAACCAAATAACTCTAACCCTAACCCTATTCCTGAAGACCAGGAATTGACTTCCTCCTTAGTAAGTCATAGACACTTTTGAGACAAGTGTGAGAACATGATCGCCTTTCTGGGAGTACTCAGAGTCCCCCAAGGAGCCTCAGAAAAATAGTATGTTCAATGTGATCATTGATAGCTCCAATTCATCTGGCTATTCTTCTTCCTTTCAGAGCTTCCTGCCATGTAAAACCATTCAGTTCACATCATGTGTGTCCATGTAAATGTACTAGACAGCTATTCTACACATTTTTAAAAAATCTCCAACTTCTGCTCAGAATTCATATTGAGGTCTTTTCCAGGTGAAGCAGTTTTAGAAGTCGACTCCGAATCTCCTTGGTTCTAGCTCCATAGATAATAGGATTGAGTACAGGAGGCACCAGCACATAGAGATTAGCCAGAAAGATGTGCACATGCTTGGGGACTTGGTGGTGACCGAAAGCGGTGGGCGAGGAAGGAGAAGAAGGCAGGGATGTAGAAAACCAGGATGACACCAATGTGGGAGCCACAGGTACTCAGAGCCCTGTGCTGGGCATCATGAGATGGCAGATGAAAGACCGCATGGATGATAAAGCCATAGGAAATGGCAATGAGAACAGAATCCAGTCCCATGGCCAGCAGAGCCACAGTCAGTCCATAGACAACATTGACGGTGATATTGGCACAGGCCAGTCGGGCAATGCCCATGTGCTCACAATACGTGTGTGTCATGACACGGTGACCACAGTAGGGGAGTCGCCTCAGCAAGAAGATGAAGGGAGAGACAATTGCCATGCTACGGAATATCCCAACAAAGCCAATTCTGCCTATGACAGCATGGTTGAGAATGGCTGTGTACCTTAATGGGTTACAGATAGCCACGTATCTATCAAAGGCCATGGCAAGTAGAATCGAGGACTCCAGAGCATAGATAGAATGGACACAAAACATCTGGGCCAGGCATCCACCAAAGGAAATCTCACCAGCATGGAGCCACAAAATGGCCAGCATCTTGGGCACAGTGGTAGAACTCAGAGCCAGGTCCGTGAGTGAGAGAAGGCAGAGGAAGAGGTACATGGGTGCATGAAGAGCATTGTCCCTGACAATGACCAGGATGAGGGCAGCATTTCCAGCCAATGCTACAAGATAAAGGACACAAAAAGGGATGGCAATCCAGAAGTGGGCAGCCTCCAGCCCTGGGATCCCTGTCAAGAAGAAGGTGTCTGGAAGATGGTTATCACTGAGGTTGGAATCTGACATTCTTCCTAGCAAACGAAGGCCTCTTTCTGAGTAGTATTGTTATGCTTGCCCTGTAACAACAGATATTTGGTTTATATAAAACAAAGATCTTTCTGTGAAATAATCTTTTTTAAACTCAGAAAAACTATTTATTGTTTTTTACTTGTATAAGCATCTGAAAGAACTCTACCACACATAATTCATTTTTTAAAAACTTCTGCTGATTTCTATGTTGAACAATGATGATTTGAGCTCTATATCCAAAGCACCGAGATAAGTATTTATTAATCTTCTCAAACTGATCCTTCCAGACTTGTCTCCCTCCACATCCTGCACATCATTTATTGACCGCTAGTCCATCCACATCATGGGATGTTTCTTACCTCTCATTCACACCTTTTCTCTTACCTAGGGAGTCTTATTTCTTTACTTTCCTCTTCTCTGTTAAGTTTTAATGCAAATTTCCCCACTTCCCAGAAGCCTTCCCTTTCTAAACCGGTCCTTAGTAATCTCTAATTATGTATTTTTCCTACTTTCAATATCTTACAAAATTCTATTGAGCTAGGACTGTGTCTTTAGGGAACTGTAACCTCTGCACTGCCTATGACTAGGTCTGTGCCTAGACATTTTGACAACTTCAATAAAGACTAAATTCTGATCATTCTTAGTGACATGCCATTGATGTTTTGAGTTAAAGATATAATGATGCATTAACTTTCTTTTCTGTATTTGTTATTTACCAAATATACACTAAATCACCTCTGTATATGTATCACCTGAAGTGCCTATGAAGAGGCAGGGAAACTTGAATATACGTTCATAGCATGATTGAACATGTACAGCGATTTGAGCATTCACATGGATATACTAGAAGAAAGTGTGAGATGAATCAGATATGCTTGTTGAGGAGACTGTCCTCAACTATGGCAAAGCCAGTGTGTAGTCCTCCAACCCACCAGCATAACTGGCTGGATGTGAGGTCCAATCAGAATGGCAAGTAATGATAGAGACAGACACAAAAAGTGACGTGTTCTAGATTTGCCACCAATAAAGACACTGGAAGGGGATTCTGCTCTTGCTGTGCGGGGATAGCTAGTATTATGTATATTCTCTCAATAACATGTATCCATAAAATAATTCTGAGTAAGAATGCCAGGAAATCTGAATTTAGCCCCGATTCTACAACATGGATTTGTAACTTTGACCAAATCTCTTACTTCTCTGGGCAGTCTCAATTTAGAAAGGGCAATGAATGTAGTCATTGCATGCTTTTCTGTCTGCTCATTATATGGCATTGAAAAAAATTCTAAAGCCTTTTTGTGCCTTAGTTTTTAACCTCTGAATTGGGAATGACACCATCTGACGTAACTTCACAGAATTTTGTGGTTGACTAAAAATGAATATTTATGGAATTAAACATTTGTATACCCAGAATAACTCCCCTATTTTTCTAAAACATAAGGTATTTATCTTCTAACAACATATACTCTGGAGAAAAGAGAGTATAGTTATCATTCCCATCCCTAACCAATGAAAAGACCAAGTCCAGAGAAGTGAACTGATGTAATTTAGATCATGAGGCATTTTATTTGCAGAACTATGATTAGCTCTCATGTCTCCTGATTCAGAGTTTGGTATTTTTACCTCACCCTACTGTCCATTAATATGTCCAATACTTGAATTCCTATCTCTTTCAAATGAGGCTAAAATCTTGTTTTTGTCTAATATCAATTCCTAACACTGCGGTATCTTTACTCATTATCTGAGCTCCAAAAAGGATGGAATTAGGGAGTCCCCTTTATTTGCATTGAGACTTTTTTTTTGTAAGAGCAGGAGACATCTTAGTTGATTCCTACCATAACGGAGCACCTAGGACTGCAATACGAAGAAACACAGACATATTTTACTGCAGTAGAGAGAACAGATGATATTTAGGAGGTTATGAGACAGAAGATACAGAGCAAACAAAAGTCACTGACATGAGCCAATGCAGGGCTGTACGAGAGGTTCCTATCTAGCCCAGATGTTCAGCTCTTCTGCCTTCCTACCCTGTGCTTTGGTTTAAAATGCAGAGGAAAGATGGGAAACAATGATGAACGCGGGAGGTGGGGGGATGCCCATCGTGGGCTCTGCAGACATCTCAGGCAAAATTAGAAGACAAAGAGCTGCCTGTAGCTGCTCAATCTCAGAAATGAGTCAAGAGCTGCCGGTGGCTGCTCAATCTCAGAAATGAGTCAAGAAGTTTCCAGAGAAGCTCTCCCAAAGCAGAGTCAATTATTTTCATGTAAAGTGCCCCCACATTTCTTCCAACTCCTCCTCTTTGGGTCTCCAATAACCCACAGTACTTATTGGACACAGCACGGACCAGTCACTGTGTGGAACTGGGGTAACAACAATGAACAAGCAGACAAAAACCCCTGCTATGAAAGAGCTTAGATTTTAGCAAGTGCAGACAAATAGCAAGCAGAACGCACAAGTAAAATATATCATAGGTTGGATGATGATAAGGGCTTTGAAAAATAAAACAAACAAAAAAAGGGAATGGGAGTGGGGTAAATTCTAACTAGGGCAGTGTATTAGTTTGCTAGGGCTGCCACCACAAAGCACCACAGACTGAGTGGCTTAAACTACAGAAACATACTCTCTCACTGTTCTGGAGGCTCGAAGTCTTACAGCACAAGGATGGCAGGGTTGGCTCTTTCTGAGTCCTTTCTCCTTGGCTTATAGATGGCGCTCCCTTGTGTCTTCAGTTGGCCTTTCCTCTGCCTGTGCTCTCATCTCGTTATAAGGTCAACAGCCATACTGTATTAGGGCATACCCCAGTGGACACCATTTTTTTAACTTTATCATCTCTTTAAAGATCTTATCTTTAAATATAGTCACATTCTGAGATGCTGAGGGTAAGTTAGGACCTCAACATGTGAATTGGGGACGTGGAGGCCAACACAATTCAGACTATAACAGGGATCCAGGTAAATCCCTGCTGGGAAGGTAGTATTTGAGCAAAGACTTGAGTCAAAAGAGCTAGCCATGCAGGTATCAGAAGGGGAGAGCATTTCAGACAGAGGGACATCAAGTGCAAAGGCTGTGAGACACAGGCCTGCTTGATGGGTTTGGGAGGCAGCAAAGAGGCTATTGTGCTGGAGGACTAGAAGCTGGGGTGCAAGTGGCATAGGCAAGATTGGCTAGATCCTCAGCCCACAGAAGGGACTTTGACTTTCACTCTGAGTTGCGGAGGGAATCCTTAAGGGAGAAATCACGTTGCTTACGACCTGCAAGTTCAGGCTCACATTCATTGCTCAGCCCAAGCAGAGTCCATCAGGTGCTTATGTGGACTGCCCCAGGGACACAAGCCTGAAGAGCTGGATGAAACAATTAACACATTTTCACAAAAAAGATACATCTATTTCTAGAGCTCTCACAATTAATAACTTCTAAACATTTTCTCAATTCTAGATATTATTGCTGTGAATCTCCTTTTTGATGCACTTAGAAAATGTGAGAGGAAGATATTTTTATGTTATATGTACTTTGATAAAATTTTGTAGGATTTGTGTACTGTGCATTCTTTTATCCTTTTTCTTTTGCTGGGCTCAGAGTGAAGAAGAAAACAGCAGAGATCTATCTTCCATCACCTGTGGTGAGCGGCTATGATGGGAAATCTGCTTCTGACTTCTTTTTTTAAAATCACAGTTAGGGTACCGTATTCTTTGCAGGTTATGCAGATGATGTACTTTTAATTGCCAGAGAAAGAGTAGCCAATCTGTATAATGCCAATTTGTCAAATCCGGAAATGCTAAAATCAACCAAAACCTACAAAGCTATGAAGAATGTTGATACTGTGTAACATCTATCGGAGAATACAAAACTCTTTAAAGGGGCAGGTTTATTCTCACATTGTCCATAAGAACATTTTGAAATAATACATACGTAATGTTTATTTAGTCAGAGGCAAAATGGGACTGTGGTAATATCACTGAGTTTGTTGTACAAAGACGAGGGCCAAGGCCCGGGTTTGCAGCTTCCTAACTCTGTGTCCTCGGGCAGGTCATTTAAGCTCTCCCACCGGTAAACTGAAGAAAACGAGTCCTCCTCTGCTTCTTACAGAAGTATTGGGAAGATCAAGTAAAGAGTGTCTTTTTGAAGAACTGTATAAAATCAGATATTATCATAATCTATTGCATTGAGATTTTTTAATGATCACACTAGATGGATTTGGCCTCAGCACTGGCACTGACCTGTGATAGTAGGGGAAAGAAGCTTGGATGATAGAGTTTAAAGAGCTGGAGTCACTAACATCTTCTTCTGCACTTTCTGGCCTATTCTTGCCTTCTATGGAAGATTTAAAATGATTGTTGTATACTCTGTGATTGTCTAAGGAAGTGTGGACCAGAAAGATTGGGGCAAGAGCAGGTTCCATTTATTTCCCTTTAGAAAATAGTGGGAAAAGGATATTGAGCTTGAATATCATTTAGGTTCACAATGCAGGCATCCTTCCTAACTTGTCACAGGTCCTGTGTCTGCGTCCCCATCTGAGACCTGGAGGTTAGTAACTTAGCTGTGAGTTCATTCACTGAGCATATTGTTGAGGAATCTGATTTCAAGAACTTACCTGCATAGGAGACATGCTTTTGCAGGTGCAGCATGCTGAGGTTGGACCTCAGTGGAATGGTGTGTGTAAGAGGGTGAAGCTGTGTCGGAGAGAGTGTGGTGGTGCACTGGCTTTGGCAGGAGGTGTGTATCTGGATGCAAAGTTTTGTTTAGGGAAGTGAAAGCTGTGTTTCTCTGCAGGTTCAAGGGAGTGTGGTATGAGAGAGTGGAGGGTCTGCATGTATAATTCGTGTTGAAATACCTTATCCTTTCTTCCTGGGCTTACTGAATGTCTTCTGCTCTGCTCTGCATTTCAGCCTCCTCTAGTCAAGGGGATTGGTAAATGGGGTTATTTATGGACTCTCCCTGTGATGTGCAGGTGTGAAAACCCAGGTGGCATCCTCTAAGGATTTGATCTGTTGGTCCATCTG